TCACTATGATGTAAATTTGCTGACACATTCTTTTTTTGTAAAATATTCAAAATTTTCTCATAACTTCCTTAGGAACAGCAAGCCATGGCAGATATTCATGAGAGAACTAAGACTCAAGGTCTTGCAGGGCACCTATGTTTGAGAATTTCTGAATCTACTAATTGGTCCCTCAGTGGTATGCCATTACTTAGATATTTTGTTCCATCTTAACAGGCTTATTGGATCTTTCTAGGGCAGAGTAACTGGAGTGTTAAGCGACTTTGAGGAAGGCTCTTGTACCTGAAGGAAATCCTATAGTGTAGATTACAACAGGCTTCCATTAAAAGCCTCTCCCATTTTACTGGGTGAAGAGGAGGTTAAAGGGTGGTCTCATTCCCCGTTATAGGAAATTGGGTCAATTTATGATATAGTGGCAAAGGGATAATTTCTCATGACTCGTTACTCTGGTCATTGGTTTCCCAAAGTATTTTCTCAAGATCATTAACTTGGTGGAAAGCCCTCAGAAATTGAAACAAAAACCAAACCAAACAAAAAACCCTACTTCCATAGTCAAATACATTTAGGAAATTTTAGCTTAAGCAAGTATAAACAGCTTGCTTTATCTCATCCAAGAAGAGATAGAGTAGGATTCTTTTCCAAATTTATTTGTGTTTTAGAAGTGTATTTGATCACCATAATATCTTTTCACAGTTTTGAGAAACACACTCTAACAAGATTATCTCTGATTTTTAAAATCCTTGGGTAGCCACAGAGCAAGCTGATCTTTCTCAAAGTCATGCTGATAAATACAGGCAAGCTCTCTTTACCTACCATTTCACTGGCTTTCAAAGGTTGCTCTGTTATCTCCAATTTCTCACTTGCTGTTTCTGGATGCTAGAACAGAAAAGAAATGCTTCCTATTTCTTTCTTTTCCCTCTTTCTTGAAAAAATTAGAGACAGATTATATAACTCTGGCCTTCCCCTGAGTATATTGCTGAGGATATTCAAAAGCATTCCTCAGTAACTTGTGAGTGGCTTTACAGAAGCATCTCATGTTTTACCTAAACAGGAGGTTCCTTACTCTTTCTATAAATCAACTATTTTCTCGCTGATTTACATGACAATTTCAGATGGTTGTCAGTTTGTACTTCTGCCTAACAAATTAGTCTTAAACTTCTTTGCCTTCTCCTCACTTTTCCCTGATCTTCTCTGCCATATACTTAATGATGTATAAACAAACAAAATATGAAAGGCAACCCAATAGGAACTTTAGGAATCTTTTTATAAGCTCAAGAGTCCTTTCAAAATGTGATTCCTTAATAGAACTGACTAGAAAGTCCAGAAATAAACCCAGATACAGAGAGGAATTAAGTATATGCCAAAAGTGACATTTAAATCCATGGGGAAGGGATAGTTGAATAAACAGTGTTAAGACAACTAGGTAGAAATCCAGAAAAATAGTAAAGTTAAATCTAGGGGCGCCTCGGTGGCTCAGTCGTTAAGACTTTGTCTTAACCCTATGTCTGCCTTCGGCTCAGGTCATGGTCCCCAGGGTCCTGGGATCGAGCCCCGCATCGGGCTCCCTGCTCGGCAGAAAGCCTGCTTCTCCCCCTCCCACTCCCCCTGCTTGTGTTCCCTCTCTCACTGGGTCTCTCTCTGTCAAATAAATAAATAAATAAAATCTTTAAAAAAAAAAAAAAAGTTAAATCTACAACTCACACCTAACCCAAACCAAATTCCAGATGGAAAAGAATTTTAACTTGAAAAATTAAACCATGAAAAAAAAAAATTCCTGTGGCCTGTTTATTTGAGCTGACATAAACCACACTAAGCAATGTCTTTGTCAGTGACAGGTCACAATGAAATTGTGGAAACTTTTGGTAGGAAAGATCCAACTCTTTAACTGAGGCTGGGAAATGGTTTGGTTAGACAGAAGAGGGGAAAACTGAAGTTTGATATTTACATTTTGTGACGACAATAAGGAGCTATTATGTTAATTACATAATCGAGGGCGGCATATTTGGAGATAGTAGGAGCACTGATGGAAACTAAAGGGAGAGATATTTGGGTATATGAAGTGGGACCAGATCATAGAGGACTCTGAATGCCCAGATGAAGAGTTTGCCCTTGGTTCTCTTTTAATTGGGGAACCTCTGGGAATTTATGAGCTAGTATGTAGGTTTTCTGAACCTTTATTGACATTTTTTGGCCAGATAATTCTTTGTCATGGGAAGCTAGCCTGTATATGACAGGATGCTTAGCAGCATCTCTGCCCTCTACCTACTAGATGTTAGTAGCACCTTGCCCTTTACAAATTGTGACAACCAAAAATGTCTCCAAACATTGCCAAATGTCTCCTGGGTAACAAAATTATCACGGATTGAGAACAACTGAGCTCTAAGAAGACAGAATAATTGGTGTTTGAGAAGGACTGACCAGTTGTGGTTGTGTAGAATGAACGGAAGGTCGGCAGGACAGGAACCTGACAGAATGTCTTAGAGACTATCCCAGTACCCTAGGTATGGTATATTGTTACAGTAAGGGCCTCTAATAAAGTACATCTCCTTGTATCTGTGACCTTGTATAGTCCTCTCTCACATTGATGTAGGGCTTGGCCATGTTGACTTGGCATGATCAATCAATATTCCAATCAGTAACCGTGACATAAGCTGAGGCTTGAAGAGCATCTGTGCATTGGGACTTAGCCTCTTGGACACTGCCCCCATGTAACAAAGCCCATGCTCACCTCCTGAAGACACACGGTCCAACTGACAGCCAACACCAACTTCCAGATACGAGTGAGGTCCTCTAACGCCATGCAGCCACAGTGGAACCACCATGACTGCATGATCTTAGGCAAGCCTGCAGAAAAACTACCTACCTGACCCTGCCCAAGTTAATGACAATGAAATTATGAACAAATGAAATGGTTGCTGTTTTAAATCACTAAGTGATTGTCGTATTGTCATGCAGTGATAGATAACTTATAGGTCTGGGGTAGATCATTATCACTGGAAGTGAAAAGGTGTGTACACAAGACATTTGCAAGAATCCGTATTTCTTGATGACTTTTCAGTGAAGGGACTCAGTGAAAGGGCAAAACGGGTCAAAAAATATAAGAACTTAGAAACTGAATGCAAAGGTCAGAGTGAATTCAGGAATGAAGTTGCATGAGCAGTCTTCAAGAAAGCACCTCTGTCTAAGCAGTTAAAAATATTAACTCAGCTATTTTGAAAACTACAGATACTTAGTAATTGCTAACAGTATAATGATAATAATACTTCAAAGGTTCAGTTTAACAAGTATATTTCTAAAGCTTTAAAGGCATTACCAAGCTAGCCACCTCTTCCTTTATATGGAAAAATCAATCTTTAGAATAAACAGGAAAGCACATAAACTCAAAATCAATAACAATTTATATTGCACTAATGATAAAATTCATTTCAATGTAATAGCTATCCACTTGTATGGAACTATATTCACTTAGCAATTAGATTGCTAAGACCAGGGCCTCGAATGGAATGTCTCTCATAATTTACCAGTTAAATTTACAGATGGTGATTATCAGTGGTATTTACGGCTTGATAGATGCTGAGCGTTGACCCTGTTTATTGTACTATTCAAGAACTAACAGTTCCTCAGATGGTTAGCACTTAGCCTTATGTTTAAGAACACCGACCTGGAGGGATGTCTGTCAAATCCCCTACTTTATTTTAATCCTAATAAAAAAAATCAAAGTAATAAGCAATAAAGAAAATCCGGGATGAGATAAAAATGGAAATAAAGAGTCATAACTAACAGAAATGGCAGTAAATAAAAGAAAGTCTAAAGCGTGGAGGGAATGGATAATGTAAATAAAGTAAAAACAACCCAAATACATTTTCACAGGTTATTAGAATCACCTAAGAGAACATATGTATAAGTCATATGACAGAGTGAGGGTCTCTTGGAAACAGGGTAAGATAAAAAGGAAAAGATCAAAATGGTTGAATTTTTAAGATCTTGTACCCATTAAGCAGTCAGTATTAAAGAAACAATAGCCCTGATGAAATAAGTGTTTAAAATCAAAGGGTAACATGCACTTGGATATAGGATTTCTCTAAGATTTATCTGGAAAAAAAAAAAAAAAAAGCTACCCTAGTCTTTAACTGTCGTTGCCTGCCAAAGCATTTTGGTTATTAATTCATTCTCAGGTTGTGGAGACAAGGACTGAGAAAAATTATTTGGATGCGGGGATCTGGAAGATCTATGTGATTTCTAATGTGTATTAACCAGTTGGAACTTAATGTTGGAAGGACGTGGATTAAGGAAAGCCAGTAAAATCAGAAAATGGGGTGTTCTGGTAAGTCTTGTAGTTTAGTTTGTAAGAAAACTTGTATATGCGGACGTTTACTCATGTTCCGGAATTACAAGAGACTAAAATACACATAACGTTAACCAATTTGGAATCGTACCCCTATCTTCCTTTTCTCTTTTTGCCCAGTTAGCTTTGCACACTCCTGCTAGCTCTTGGCTTTACCCGAGCAAAGAGTGTTTACTCCGAAGCGCCTGGTAACACTGCCGCTGCAGCCCCGGTTCTGGCCGGGTATCCCAAGTCCAAGAGGCCCCAACCCATGCTCCGCGGGCTTGGACCTGGCACAGGAGGGACAGAGGGCTTCGGAAGTGCGGGAAGCCGCGCCACGCGCCCCCCCTACCTGGCTGGGCGGAGCCGGGCCCGCCCGGAAAGTGTTTGGGCCGCCCCGCTGGTTGCTCAGTCTCGGGCAGGCGCTGCGGCGCTGTACTCGGGCCGGGCGGGGGCTGCGCGCCGGCCCAGCGTCGGCGCGCCCCGCCCCCGGCCCGCCCGGGCGCCCCGCCCCGCCCCGCCCGGACATTCCTGCAAGTGGCCGAACCAGCCGGACGAGGCCAACTCGCCGCGGCTCCCTGCGGCAGCAGGTGGCCCCGGACTTCACGCCGTCGCCGCTGCCCCCGCGGGCCGCGCGCCCCGTCGCGCCCCAGAGCCGTCTGGGCTACCCTCGCCGGACGGGATGGAGGCGGACGGGGACGGGGAGGAGCTGTCCCACCTGCGCTCGGTCTTCGCTGCCTGCGACGCGAACCGCTCGGGGCGCCTGGAGCGCGAGGAGTTCGGCGCGCTGTGTGCGGAGCTGCGCGTGCTGCCGGCCGACGCCGAGGCCGTGTTCCAGCGGCTAGACGCTGACCGCGACGGCGCCATCACCTTCCAGGAGTTCGCGCGCGGCTTCCGTGGGTTCCACCGCGGGGGGCGGCGCCGAGGCTGGGCTCCCCGGGAGCCCGCGCCCGCCTCAGCCCAGGCGGGGCCCGACTCCGCGGACAGCGAAGAGGACGAGGGCGACGGGGACGCGCTGGCAGCCCCCTGGGGTCGGGCGAGCCCCGGCCAGGCTTGGCAGGACTTCCAGGCGCGACTTGGAGACGAGGCCAAATTCATCCCCAGGTGCGTGTGTGGGTTGGAGGGCGGGAGGTGAGGATGGGGTTATCTGCCCTCCCCCGTGCGCTGGCATCTCCCTCTTAACCCGCGGAGTGTGCAGACCCACTGGACCCTACTACGCTTGGTGAGTTGCTTTTCTCCGTCAACGGACTCTATTCCAAGAGGAGATCCCCTAGAGTTGAAGAAAGGGAGTGCGTTCAGAGTCAGGGTTTGGGGAGAAAGTTTCACTTGCTCATTTCTGAGCCCTGCAAAGGTCACTTTGTTAATTACCTGGGCCACAGTGAAATCCGCAGCGTCCAGATTTGGTTCCCAGACAAAAGTTTAGGAGCGCTCCCCACATCTCATCGCACCTTCTACCAAGGCCCCCTGGCTTTCCCCCGGAGTTATGAGTGGCCGACTTCCAAACTGGCGTCCTTTATATGTAGTAGTTCTTGTATTTGTTGTTTTCCTACAACATAGAAGACGAAACATGTTGGGCATTTATATTGCTGGACTTATATATTCATTGATGCCTACCTACTATGTACTAAGCATTTTACAGAGTTCGTTCATTTAATTTTTGCAACAGCCCTGGGAGGTGGATTTTCTTCTCTAATTGATGGAGAAACTTAGACCCAGAAATTTAGACCTTTAAGACATTAAGGAACTTGACTGGTTAATGAAAGAGCAGGGATTTGATCCCATATGTTGTTGAACTGAAAAACTTGCTTTTTATACAATGGAATAAAATGATAAAATTATACAATAAATTCTCTACTCTCTGGCTCGGACAGAAATGATATCAAGTTACTAACTTAATTCTCAGGGGGAAAGGAAATGCCCGCAGGGGCAGAGCATGGAGAGAAAGATGCTCAGGTTTTATTCAAGAGTAATCTGCATCTGTCCTCGCCTTCCTGTCATGGTATGTCTTGAACTGCTATTTTCACTTCTTCCTCAGGCACTCCAAAATGTAAATGCTATAAAGTGTATTTCTGCTCTTGGTTTGGATTATGGTTGAAAGCCTATGGAGCTCTGGCTGTCGTTATTAAGAACTGAAACGTATCATTTTGGCTGGCAGCTTGCATATCTTAGTCATAAGACTCAGAAAAGCAAATAGCCCTGGAGGGTGAGTGGTCTTGCTCACCCATTCACAGCTTGGACCTGCCGGCCTGGGAGTCCCACTTCCTCCTCTGCCCAGCTCCTCCCTCCAGTTTGGAGACTAAGGCATGGAGAGTGACTCACTGCAAGTATGAGACGGATGGTGTAGAGAAAGTGGGTGTGATACCCATCTTTTCTATTATTTACAAACGAGTTAAAATACAACGTCTCTCCCAGGGAAGTAGAAAAATGTAGCATCGCCATAAACCATACTCTTGGAATTATCTTTTATCTTTAACTTGGTTTGGGTCCAGCTAATTATAAAAGGTAACAGTTTTAAGAACCAGTAAAGGTGAACCCATGCCATGGTTTACACACACACCCACACCCAGATCTACTTTTCACAGTTGTCAAGTCTCAGCAACAAATATTTGACACTTAACCTTGAAATGATTAGGATGGTCTTCTTAGTATCAGTATAGAAACCAGGATTTAATGTAACTGGTGATATTGTTATTATCATGATGTCTTTCCAAACTCTTCAAAGATTATTAAATTTAATGAGCAGCAGTGTTACCTGGTAGACTTGTGTTTTAAGCCACACCCCCTTGTGATTGGAGATTAACAAGTACAATATTTGCCTTCCTGTGCTTGTTCAAGTGGAAAAGAACTAAACTGAGTTGCTTCATCTGATTGTTACCATGGCAGCCAGTAACTGTTTTTGGTAAATTCGATTGCTTCTATTCCACTTCCTCATACAGCTGTTCACCTTCCCTTCCTCTCATCCAAATGTGGTAAAAATCTTTTGTCATCGATAAGGCCATTGGCATTATTTCAGTCAAATTAGTTCTGCAGATGTTATTGAGTGCTTATTTTGTGCCAGACACTGTTGTAGGTCCTGCCCTAGGTCCTTGGGGACAAAGAGAAGGATGAGATGTAGTTCATGCTCTCAGGAAGTTTATAGTGTGGGTGAACCATTTCTCAAAAATTTCATCAAAGAACATTTAAAGGCAAGAGGGTTATTTGCAAGAAATTCCATATAGAGCGGACATAGCCCAACAGACTACTGCAACCAGGAGCTGTCTTTGGTCATGTATTTGTTCATTTTACTCCATGATATATCGGGGCTTATTTTAATATAAAACGTTATACTTTCCTCCAGTGGGAAAATTGTTTCTCTAGGAAAGTGTGCCATTTCATCTGGTGGCTTTGTTATTCATCTGACACACCATTTTACCCATGGTGGCTTCTTGTCCCATGCTTATGTAGCGGGTTTTCATGTTTAGGTTGAGAAGATCAGGTATCAGATATAAGAATGTTTGGCTCCTGATCCCGGGGTCCTGGGATCGAGCCCCGCACCGGGCTCCCTGCTCCACGGGAAGCCTGCTTCTCCCTCTCCCACCCCCCCCGTTTGTGTTCCCTCTCTCACCGTGTCTCTCTCTGTCAAATACATAAATAAAATCTTTAAAAAAAAAAAAAGAATGGCTCCTATAAGGCAAAATGTGGTGGTGTTGACAGAATTTCCATTTGTAAGACCATTCAAGCTCCCGGTTTAAAAGTATTAAGCAAGTTTGGGTTAAACTCCCCAGTCGTCAATATTGTGATCTTAGAGAAGAAATAAGGTTGCACTGTAAAAGGATGAAAATGGTCTCTGGGATGTGTGTCAACTCACTCTCAAGTTGGTTTTTTCTTGGAAGATTGAAAGACTCCTTCTCCTAAAGGGGAATGTCCCCAGTAGTCAAGTGACCTGTTAACCTGAGCTGGGCAGGTGTAAATCGTCTACAGGGTCAGGATGGCCATCACCACTTCCTAGTGAACTGGAATTAGGTCAGCCAACAGGTGAAACCAGAATGGGCAAGGTGGTGTGGTTATAGAAGAGAATTCAGGAAGGAAGACTGTACAGGGCCAAGAACACTCCATGAAATGGGGAGAAAATGTTGGGTGAGAGATAGAGAACAGGCTTGTAATAACCTAGTCTGGCCAATTTCTTGTGCCGGGGCGTTATGAGAGGGAGTTTTGTACCTAGTAGATACTTAGTAAACGTGTTCAGTAAATGTTTGCAAAATGAACAGAATAAACTGGTGTTCTTTGTTCCTTGATTCATATACTGAGAATGCAGTTGATGTCATGTGCATTTTCTTCATTTGTTTTGTTGATGCTCTTTCTCTTTCTCTTTTTTTTAATGTTCTGGTATGAGCTGGTCATGGTGTTCCAAGATTGGCAAGGAGAGGGAAACGGTGTGTGTGTGTGTGTGTGTGTGTGTGTGTGTGTGAGTGAACATTTGACCAGGGGTAGTGGGATGGCAGAACTCTCTCCTCTAGTTGGACCTGAAGCCTTTCAGAGTTTTCTCAACTCCATTTGTTGAAATTTTAAGTGTTATTTGTGAGTCAATTTCACTTTGATAAATCAACTTAGAACCGCACGTTTTCACAAACAGAAACGTGAGGATCCAGCTGGTACCAGCACCGCAGTGCATTTGTGCGTGGGTACAGGTATTGCCACGGTGGCCCGATCAGGGACCGAGCCAGGGTGGTGCTTGTAATGTAATAGGCGTTAGTGTGATTGGTGACCTGCCAGGCAGGGTGAGACTGCCATTGTTGTTCAGACACCGAAATCCATCCCGTGTGGTCAGCTGTTTCTCATGGTTTCTGATCTTCCTACACACCCACTGTTGAAGGGGAGGCTTTTATTTTGATCATTTAGAAACCATAAATTTAATTGAGAAGAACCCAAACTACCGACATGTGAGCTGTATATGGATTGTCAAAAACAGAGTACTTCAGCATATCCGTGTAACTGTAGCGATGATTATGAAAATCAAGAGAAAGAGATCAATGGCTGAACACCAGTCCCACTTAAGGAGGACATTTTTAAAACATGTAGCTCCAAGTAGGCAGAAGGATAGTTTCCACACTGGTCAGGGTTTCTTTTACATTTCCCCTTCTTGGTTTCCACGTGAGCCCTTTCCAGTCTGATCGCCTTCTTTTCTAATAACATGGTTGCTTCACGCACCCCCTTCTCTTCCGTAATGTGCCTCATAAGATGGGAAGGCAGAGAGTAGATGGAGGCAGAGAAACATAAACTCAGAGAGAGGGCTGGAGACAGGGAGCAGGAGAGGGGGACAGGTGAGGGGAAGGGGAAGACAGAGATCAACAGACAGATGGACAGATTGGATAGTGCCTCAGTTTCCCCTCTCTTTACACTGAATGAGTTCATGGCCATGAGCCACCTTGAGATGGGAGAGGCAAATCCACTCTGCTCTATTTGATTTTAGCTCTTGAAAATCCTCAGAATGTGAGCATCTTGGTGCTTTGGATGGTGTTTGTAGTATTTGAAGATACGTGTTTCACTCACGTGGCCAGGAATATTATCTGGTGTTCATCCAAGGAGATGAAGACTTGTTCCAGCCTTGAGGTATGACAGTGGGTTGGACTCCAGTCCTGAAAGAGGATTAACGGTGTTTTTGCCAGTGTGTGGTATTTACTTCTGGCCCTGGCTTTGGGATCTGTAAGTGTTCTGACCACAGTCTTTGCAGAATTCTCTGCTTTTTCTGGGTTCATATGTGGAGTCTTTATAGATATTTATTTTCTTACTGTTGCTGGTCTGTTGCTTTTCCTTTTTCCTCTTTAGTATACCCTCTATTATAATTCTCTGTGTTATCACCCTGCTGCTAAATGGGAGAAACCTGTCTGTTGAGAAAACCACATCTCTGCTTTGAACCTTGCGAGCCTTGCTCCTGGGCTTTATAGGAGTCTGTGCATGGCTTGGCTTTTATGGGCTCTTCTTGCTGGTGGTCCCTCCTGGTTTTGATCTTTGAATTTTATCTCAAGGTAATGATTTCCATTTTGGCCTCCCGGCCTCAGAAACATGTTCTGGCTATACTGTCCTTGGAGGATTATCTGTCTGGCCAGATGGTTAGTGGCCCTGTG